GTGTGTGTGATGTGTGTGTGTGATGTGTGTGTGATGTGTGAGTGGTGTGTGTGTGGTGTGTGTGGTGTGTAAGTGGTGTGTGTGATGTGTGTGTGGTGTGTGATGTGTGTGTGGTGTGTGGTGTGTGTGTGATGTGTGAGTGGTGTGTGTGTGATGTGTGTGTGGTGTGTGTGTGATGTGTGTGTGGTGTGTGTGTGATGTGTGAGTGGTATGTGTGTGATGTGTGTGTGATGTGTGGTGTGTGTGGTGTGTGTGTGGTGTGAATGGTGCGCGTGGTGTGTGTGTGTGGTGTGTGTGGTGTGTGTGTGATGTGTGAGTTGTGTGTGTGATGTCTGTGATGTGTGGTGTGTGTGATGTGTGTGTGGTGTGTGATGTGTGGTGTGTGTGATGTGTGTGGTGTGTGTGATGTGTGAGTGGTGTGTGGTGTGTGTGTGTGGTGTGTGTGTGTGATGTGTGGTGTGTGTGATGTGTGTGTGGTGTGTGTGTGATGTGTAAATGGTGTGTGTGTGATGTGTTAGTGGTGTGTGTGTGGTGTGTGTGTGGTGTGTGTGTGGTATGTGTGTGGTATGTGTGTGGTGTGTGTGATGTGTTAGTGGTGTGTGTGTGATGTGTTAGTGGTGTGCGTGGTGTATGTGTGGTGTGTGTGTGGTGTGTGGTGTGTGTGCGTGTGATGTGTTAGTGGTGTGTGTGTGTGATGTGTGAGTGGTGTGTGTGATGTGTGTGGTGTGTGTGTGTGATGTGTGTGTGGTGTGTGTGATGTGTGAGTGGTGTGTTTGTGGTGTGTGTGGTGTGTAAGTGGTGTGTGTGTGATGTGTGTGTGGTGTGTGAGTGGTGTGTGTGTGTGGTGTGTGTGTGATGTGTGAGTGGTGTGTGTGTGTGATGTGTGTGTGGTGTGTGTGTGATGTGTGAGTGGTATGTGTGTGATGTGTGTGTGATGTGTGGTGTGTGTGGTGTGTGTGTGGTGTGAATGGTGCGTGTGGTGTGTGTGTGTGTGGTGTGTGTGTGGTGTGTGTGTGATGTGTGAGTGGTGTGTGTGTGATGTGTGAGTTGTGTGTGTAATGTGTGTGATGTGTGGTGTGTGTGATGTGTGTGTGGTGTGTAATGTGTGGTGTGTGTGATGTGTGTGGTGTGTGTGATGTGTGAGTGGTGTGTGGTGTGTGTGTGTGTGTGGTGTGTGTGTGGTGTGTGTGTGATGTGTAAATGGTGTGTGTGATGTGTTAGTGGGGTGTGTGTGGTGTGTGTGTGGTGTGTGTGTGGTATGTGTGTGGTGTGTGTGGTGTGTGTGATGTGTTAGTGGTGTGTGTGTGATGTGTTAGTGGTGTGTGGTGTATGTGTGGTGTGTGTGTGTGGTGTGTGGTGTGTGTGTGTGATGTGTTAGTGGTGTGTGTGTGATGTGTGAGTGGTGTGTGTTTTGTGTTAGTGGTGTGTGTGTGGTGTGTGTGTGGTGTGTATGATGTGTTAGCGGTGTCTGTGTGATGTGTGAGTGGTGTGTGTGGTGTGTGAGTGATGTGTTAGTGGTGTGTGTGTGAGTGGTGTGTCTGTGGTGTGTGTGTGTGTGTGATGTGTGAGTAGTGTGTTGTGCGTGTGTGGTGTGTGTGTGGTGCGTGTGGTGTGTGAGTGGTGTGTGTAGTGTGTGTGTGATGTGTTAGTGGTGTGTGTGTGATGTGTTAGTGGTGTGTGGTGTATGTGTGGTGTGTGTGTGTGGTGTGTGGTGTGTGTGTGTGATGTGTTAGTGGTGTGTGTGTGTGATGTGTGAGTGGTGTGTGTTTTGTGTTAGTGGTGTGTGTGTGGTGTGTGTGTGGTGTGTATGATGTGTTAGCGGTGTCTGTGTGATGTGTGAGTGGTGTGTGTGGTGTGTGAGTGATGTGTTAGTGGTGTGTGTGTGAGTGGTGTGTCTGTGGTGTGTGTGTGATGTGTGAGTAGTGTGTTGTGCGTGTGTGGTGTGTGTGTGGTGTGTGTGGTGTGTGAGTGGTGTGTGTGTGTGTGATGTGTGGTGTGTGTGTGATGTATGGCGTGTGTGATATGTGTGATGTGTGGTGTGTTTGATGTGTGTGATGTGTGGGGTGTTTGATGTGTGTGTGGTGTTTGAGTGGTGTGTGTGTGATGTGTGTGTGGTGTGTGCGGTGTGTGTGTGTGTGACGTGTGAGTGGCGTGTGTGATGTGTGTGATGTGTGGGGTGTGTGATGTGTGTGTGGTGTGCGTGTGATGTGTGGTGTGTGTGATGTGTGGTGTGTGTGTGATGTGTGAGTGGTGTGTGCGTGATGTGTGGTGTGTGTGTGATGTGTAGGTGGTGTGTACGGTGTGTGTGTGATGTGTGAGTGGTGTGTGGTGTGTGTGTGTGTGATATGTGAGAGGTATGTGTGGTGTGTGGTGTGTGTGGTGTGTGTGTGTGTGATGTGTGGTGTGTGTGATGTGTGTGTGGTGTGTGTGTGATGTGTAAATGGTGTGTGTGTGATGTGTTAGTGGTGTGTGTGTGGTGTGTGTGTGGTGTGTGTGGTGTGTGTGATGTGTTAGTGGTGTGTGTGTGTGTGATGTGTTAGTGGTGTGTATGTGGTGTGTGTGATGTGTGTGTAGTGTGTGTGGTGTGTGTGGTGTGTGTGGTGTGTGATGTGTTAGTGGTGTCTGTGTGATGTGTGTGGTGTGTGTGTGGTGTGTGTGGTGTGTAAGTGATGTGTTAGTGGTGTGTGTGAGAGTGGTGTGTGTAGTGTGTGTGGTGTGTGTGTGGTGTTAGTGGTGTGTGTGTGTGATGTGTGTGGTGTGTGTGTGTGATGTGTGAGTGGTGTGTGTGATATGTGTGTGATGTGAGTGGTGTGTTAGTGGTGTGTGTGTGTGATGTGTGAGTGGTGTGTGTTTTGTGTTAGTGGTGTGTGTGTGGTGTGTGTGGTGTGTATGATGTGTTAGCGGTGTCTGTGTGATGTGTGAGTGGTGTGTGTGGTGTGTGAGTGATGTGTTAGTGGTGTGTGTGTGTGAGTGGTGTGTCTGTGGTGTGTGTGTGTGATGTGTGAGTAGTGTGTTGTGCGTGTGTGGTGTGTGTGTGGTGTGTGTGGTGTGTGAGTGGTGTGTGTGTGTGATGTGTGGTGTGTGTGTGTGATGTATGGCGTGTGTGATATGTGTGGTGTGTTTGATGTGTGTGATGTGTGGTGTGTTTGATGTGTGTGTGGTGTTTGAGTGGTGTGTGTGTGATGTGTGTGTGGTGTGTGCGGTGTGTGTGTGTGTGACGTGTGAGTGGCGTGTGTGATGTGTGTGATGTGTGGGGTGTGTGATGTGTGTGTGGTGTGCGTGTGATGTGTGGTGTGTGTGATGTGTGTGATGTGTGGTGTGTGTGTGATGTGTGAGTGGTGTGTGCGTGATGTGTGGTGTGTGTGTGATGTGTAGGTGGTGTGTACGGTGTGTGTGTGATGTGTGAGTGGTGTGTGGTGTGTGTGTGTGTGTGATATGTGAGAGGTATGTGTGGTGTGTGGTGTGTGTGTGGTGTGTGTGTGTGATGTGTGGTGTGTGTGATGTGTGTGTGGTGTGTGTGTGATGTGTAAATGGTGTGTGTGATGTGTTAGTGGTGTGTGTGTGGTGTGTGTGTGGTGTGTGTGGTGTGTGTGATGTGTTAGTGGTGTGTGTGTGTGATGTGTTAGTGGTGTGTATGTGGTGTGTGTGATGTGTGTGTAGTGTGTGTGGTGTGTGTGGTGTGTGTGGTGTGTGATGTGTTAGTGGTGTCTGTGTGATGTGTGTGGTGTGTGTGGTGTGTGTGTGGTGTGTGTGGTGTGTAAGTGATGTGTTAGTGGTGTGTGTGAGAGTGGTGTGTGTAGTGTGTGTGGTGTGTGTGTGGTGTTAGTGGTGTGTGTGTGATGTGTGTGGTGTGTGTGTGTGATGTGTGGGTGGTGTGTGTGATATGTGTGTGTGATGTGAGTGGTGTGTGTGTGATGTGTGTGTGGTGTGTGTGTGGTGTGTGAGTGGTGTGTGTGGTGTCTGTGCGATGTGGTGTGTGTGTGATGTGTGAGTGGTGTGTGTGGTGTGTGTGATGTGTTAGTGGTGTGTGTGATGTGTGAGTGGTGTGTGTGCGATGTGTGAGTGGTTTGTGTGGTTAGGACTAGCAGACACTAGTTCTAACTATACTAGACAACCAGACTCGATCACTACCCCTAACCACACTCATCAATGAGACACGTGTCCTAACCGTATTGCAACCCAGATTGTAGCCCTGCCTCTGATCCCCCTTGTGGCGACTTGGCCCCGATGCGTCGCTTGCGCTGTCTTCACCCCCCACTGTTGCGCCCCTGACCGCCGCTGGAGGGAGATGTGTGTGTGTGTACATACATATGTATGTGTCTATGTGTGTATGCGTGTATGTGTCTATGTGTGTATGTGTCTATGTGCATATGTGTGTATGTGTCTATGTGTCTATGTGTATGTGTCCATGTGTATGTGTCTATGTCTATGTGCCTATGTCTATGTGTCTATGTCTGTGTATGTGTCTATATCTATGTGTCTATGTGTATGTGTCTATGTGTATGTGTCTATGTGTCTATATCTATGTGTCTATGTGTATGTGTCTATATCTATGTGTCTACGTGTATGTGTCTATGTGTATGTGTCTATGTGTATGTGTCTATGTGTATGTGTCTATGTGTATGTGTCTATGTCTATGTGTATGTGTCTATGTGTATGTGCGTGTTTGGCAGGTCTAGCGGTTAGAGTGCTGGGCTACGAACCTGGTGACTCGGGTTCAATTCCTGCTTACAGCCAACACCAGTGATAGCGATCATCTGAACTGGTCCTGGGCCTCCCCTAGGTCGACTCAGCCTCAAATGAGTACCTGGTGTGATGTGTAAACATCGTCACTAGGGAGACAAAGGCGGCCGGGCGTGGTGCTGGCCACCCACCCCTCGTGTGCCGTGCCGGCCTTCATAGGTGTTGGTCGCTAACAGCACTTGCCCCAAACACTTCGCTAACAGCACTTGCCCCTAACATTTCTGTTAAGGCTATAGGGTAATATTTGTTTTTTGCAGGTGAGCACATAAGGATGGCGCATCAGGCCGACGCTTACCCTCCGCACCATCATCATGACCATCAGCAGCATCACCAGCAGCATCAGCATTACCCGGTGGTGATGCAGCAGCCCATGATGCAGACGGTACAGGTGCAGAAGACAAATTGGTCCTCGGGAATGTGCGACTGCTGCAACGACATGGGCATCTGTGAGCACCGCTCCCACACGTCGCATACACACGCGCGTGATCTCCGCAACAATGCACACACCACGTGATGAATAGGAAAATGCACACACCATGTGATGAACATGACAATACGCACACCACGTGATGAACAGGACAATACGCACACCACATGATGAAAAGGACAATACACACACCACGTGATTAACAGGATCATACGCACACTACGTGATGAACAGGACAATACGCACACCACGTGATGAACATGACAATACGCACACCACGTGATGAACAGGACAATACGCATAAAACATGATGAACAGGACAATACGCATACCACGTGATGAACAGGACAATACGCATACCACATGATGAACAAGACAATACGCACACCACGTGATGAACATGAAAATACGCACACCACGTGATGAACAGGACAATACGCACACCACGTGATGAACAGGACAATACACACACCACGTGATGAACAGGACTATACGCATACCACTTGATGAACAGGACAATACGCATACCACGTGATGAACAGGACAATACGCATACCACTTGATGAACAGGACAATACGCATACCACGTGATGAACATGAAAATACGCACACCACGTGATGAACAGGACAATACGCACACCACGTGATGAACAGGACAATACACACACCACGTGATGAACAGGACTATACGCATACCACGTGATGAACATGAAAATACAAACAATACGTGATGAACAGGACAATACGCACACCACGTGATGAACAGGACAATACGCACACCACGTGATGAACAGGACAATACGCACACCACGTGATGAACAGGACAATACGCACACCACGTGATGAACAGGAAAATACAAACACCACGTGATGAACAGGACAATACGCACACCACGTGATGAACATGACACTACGCACACCACGTGATGAACAGGACAGTACGCACACCACGTGATGAACAGGACAATACGCACACCACGTGATGAACATGACAATACGCACACCACGTGATGAACATGCCAATACGCACACAACGTGATGAACATGCCAATACGCACACCACGTGATGAACATGCCAATACGCACACCACGTGATGAACATGCCAATACGCACACCACGTGATGAACATGCCAATACGCACACCACGTGATGAACATGCCAATACGCACACCACGTGATGAACATGCCAATACGCACACCACGTGATGAACATGCCAATACGCACACCACGTGATGAACAGGATAATACACACACACACACACCACGTGATGCAATGGTGTGAACACGGTGTCGATTGAAGCGCGCGCGTCAAACGCGCAATCATAACGGCACGGGCGCGCGCGCACGCAACATCAATGCCCTACAACAACAAAAAAACCACACGACCTACAGAATTAACTAAACTCGCAACAGCCACGACTCGAGCCGCCGCTGTGAGTGAGTCTTAACCCCCCCCCCACCTTCATCCACCCCCGCGCCACCGCCCTCCCCAGGTTGCTGTGGATTATTCTTCCCGGTGTGCCTGGCGTGCAAAGTCTCCTCGGATTTCGGCGAGTGCTGCTGCACCCCATTGCTGGTCGGTGGGGACCTGGCAGTGCGCACCGGCATACGCGAGCGCTACCGCATCCAGGTGAGCAACGCCTCGCTCGCGTTAGCAGTGTTCGCGGATTTAACTCATTAATAACGAAATAATTTAACGCATTTCACCGGTGTAAGGGAGCGCTAACGCATTGAGGTGAGCAGCGTCTCGCTCGCTTGTGACGCTGACACTTGTGCTTCTGCTGCATGAACAGCTGGTGCCGAGCAAGCAGCATTAACTAAAACATTTAACTCAACGCATTGCGCCACGCTGATCTCGTCAAGGAGCATGAACCACCATCATCATCACCACGCCAACTCCTCGCAGCAGCAGCGGCGGCGGCTTTTGGCTCAGCCGTCGAACGTAGACGCAGTCACGACCATCGCGCACTTTCAGATGCGCTTCTCTGCGGCCCTCTGGCACGCTCTTCCGTACAACATTAGGAAGCCACTGGAGCTACGAACTTTACATCATCATCTAGATTGACAACGATTGGCACGATTGGCTATGTATGGTGCGAAAGGATTTCAACATTCGTATATTACATTGTTGCGCAACTCCCACAGATAGGGACAAATCAGTTGCACGCTAATTGGCCAACCCAAACTACTGATGTCACTTTTGCTTCCGGAATTATTGTCTTTCTTAATTTAAAATAAACTGAAAATAGTAAATAGTAATCGACCGAAATGTGCTTGGTAAATCGATAATGAATAGGGGCCCCAGTGTCGTCTAACGTTAACATGTTGACTAACGGTACCGTGTTTTCGTTATGCACGTGTAGGCGCCATTTTGGCCAATCCGAGCACTTGTTAAGTGGGGCTGACCCATGCCCTCAGCCAATCAGCGACGCCTATTGATGAGCGGTTGAGACCTCGACTGGCTTTGTTTACATTATGGTCAACTTTCGATCCTCTTGAATGCTTTGAACATGCAATTCTTTGAACACGTTTTTATGTTCTGGCAGTGGAAACAGCTCTGTTGTGCAGACTTACTGATTATCTTTTTCTTTGGTTCTTTCGGTAAAGTCACGTAGAATGAGAATAAAATAATAAATTAATAAAATAAAATAACACATTCTACGTGACTTTACCGAAAGAAACAAAGAAGATTAATCCTTGCAGTCACGAAAGCTTTAAATCGAAATTTTATTATCTTTTTTAAGCGTGTATTTCAACTTATAAGGGAATTCAATTAACAGCTTCAGTTAAATCTTGACTTAAAGCTTTCCTCACTGCAGGAACTCATACTCTTTGGGTCTTTCGGTAAAGTCACGTAGATAGAACACAAGGCGGATCTGAAACACGGTAGGAGTAATACCTCTGCCGTGGCAGATCATTGTTTTCACGCTGTGGGCACACATGAAATGTATTTCTCCAAGACAAAGATACTATGCAAACCCACTGGCTATCAACAAAGATTTGTTCATGAAGCCATCCAGATATATAAACACAGATACAATTTCAATCAAGAAGATGGCTTTTGGCTAAGCCGTCGAACGAATACGCAGTCACCACCATCACGCACTTTCAGATGCGCTTCTCTGCGGCCGTCTGGCACGCTCTTCCGTACAATATTAGGAAGCCACTGGAGCTACGAACAGCATCATCTAGATTGACATACTAATTTCTTTAGAACTGCTTTTTGTGTGTAGTTCGTTGTTCTTCCCCCGAACCTACGATTGGCACGATTGGCGACGTACGGTGCAAAATAAGTTTAATATACATAATGAATTCATGCAATAAACAACACTGTTTGTGGAATTAAAATAAAATACATCATCGTCGACGTTTCGGACAGTGGCCCTTCATAGTATCCGGGTGTGACAGAGAGAGATATAAAGAGACACTGAGAAACAGAGAGAAACACACGCAGACAGAGACACGCAGAGAGATAGAAATACAGACACACACATAGACAAAGAAACATACAGAAAGACACAGAGAGAGACACACACTCACACTCACACAAACACAAAGTGTCCCCGCATAGCCTGAACAGACTGTTGGGGAAAGTGCTGCTAGCAAGCACCTATGAAGGCCGGAACGGTACACGAGGAGTTGGGTGGCCAACAGCACGCCCGACCGCCTTTGTCTCCCCAATGGAGATGTTTACACACTGCACCAGGTATTGATTTGAGGTTGAATCAACCTAGGGGAGGCCCAAGACTGGTTCAAATAATCGTCACAGGTGTTGGCCGTGAGCGGGAATCGAACTCGGGTCGCCAGGTTCGTAGCGTAGCATGCTAACCGCTATACTACCGCTCCCCACTACAAACACGCAGACAGAGAGAGCAACACAAAAAGACCACACACAGAGAGAGAGAGATAATAGCCCTGCGACAGAAACTTGCAGGAACGACATGGGGGTGCCTCAGCTGATGCGCTGCGATCCGTCACCCCATCACCGATCTGCTCAGGAGCAGCAGAGGCACTGAGCTCCAGCCTGGCCTGGCAGCTCGTACACAAAACTGCCAGATGCACAATTAACTATTAATTGACATGAATGCAGCATCGTAGACATAGCATTTAAAGTGATGTCAATCCCCTGGCGCCCTGTTCTGGTGACACATTCTGCCACCGAACATCAACAGAGACATGCAAACTGCAAGGGAGTCTACACGGTTTTTTTTTTTGTTTACCAAAGACAACCAACTTAGTCATCATCAAGCAAGACCTCAACCCGATCCAGGTCCCGATCCCCCTTCTGGGATTGCGTTGCTGCTGCTGTCACCATCCTAGAATCTCAAACAGATCCGGAAGGACTCTGTCGAACAGAGTGATACAGCACAGACGTCCAGAATAAACACCTCCTCATTTGAAACCCACACATCACACCTCCTCCTGGCTTTCACCCTCCTCCTCCCTCCTCCCGCTTCCCCCCTCCTCCTCGAACACACTGGTGGTGGAACCATCAACCGCATCAGGACATGATGGGAGACTCAGTATCGATAACATTATTTTACTTTACCTTTTCTTTCGGATCCGTTCCGATGACGTACACACGCACGTCATTGGAATGGAATCGAAAGAAAAAACGATGACCTGCAACCAGTGACGTGCAACCAGTTGCGAGCGTTTGCACAACCTCTTTGTTACATTCGAGTAAATGCTTCGTAACCGGTGTTGTCGTGGCAAAGGTCTCCAGCAGCTTGTGCCGTGGTATATATATTATATATTATGAAATATAGGAATGGAAAGAACCGTCAGGTACGGCCAAGGCGACCATGACATTATAGATAGCTGAATGTGTGCATGGAATGCGCTGTGTTGGTGTGGTGTGTCTATAACCGCTCGCGCTTGTGTGTGTCGCACAGGGCTCCATCTGCGACGACTGCGTGTGCCTCTACTTCTGTTATCAGTGCACCATTTGTCAGATGGCACGCGAGGTCAAGCATCGTCAGCTGCAGGTGGCCAACGTGCAGGTGGTCATGCAGCAACCCATCGTGGGCTACATTGGCTGAACTAGATCGGTCGTCCATCCGAGGACCAACTCTTAGGCTCTCCCCACCAACATCCCCCCCACACCCCCCGTGTTACTCAGCCAAGAAATCCAAGGACTACTCACCTCCGATTAACACGGTTGACGATGTACGGTGCAAAAGAAGTTCAACGCCCACACACGTGCTCTTATCGTTTCATTATCACACCACCTGGCATGCCACGTGTTGGAGTGACGCCCAGAGGTCTGGATGTGACTCCAATGCTCGGTCTCGGTAACCTTCCCTCTTCCACCCATCACATGCAGACCTCCTCTACCTGATTACGTCTGCAGTTGTTTTACTTAGATTTTCCTTGATCTATTTTGAACTGACAAGTCGTTACACTATCTTCACACGATTCCTTTCCATGGAACTAATTCACGTTCTCCGACATGCTTCCGATCGCTCTTGTTTTGAAGTTTTGCTAAAATTATCTCAGAATTTGCTGCTGCTGCTGTAGCCTGTAAAAAAATAACGAAATTTGATCACGTGATTAATTAAAAATAAATATCCAATTGTTTAACCTCAGTTACATAAGGTCAGTGCCGTTTATGCAGGAGTTGCTTATCTGCAGTCTCTCTGCCTTGCCTAAAGGCGGCTCTCCACACCTCGGCAATCAATCGTACGCAACTCCAATGAAAACCAGTTTCGAGCGTTTGCCCAACCTCTTTGTTACACTCGAGTAAGTGCTTCGTCGCCGGTGTTGTTGGGGGAAAGGTCCCCAGCGGGTTGTGGCGCGGTATATATTTATATATTTATGAATTATAGGAATGGAAAGAACCGTCATTGTTAGCGAGCTGGGACAGACGAACTTTCTCCTGCTGTGCCGTTCAGTGGCCGATCCAACCCCCCGACCCTCCCCTCTCCATTGGTTGCGCTGCAACAAGATACAATAATCCCTCGGTTAACAGTGGCATCATCGGTTAACGTTTTTTTTTCGGTTAACGTTTCGCCTCCCATCAGAGCCCCTACGGTGTCGACTCAACGTTACAAACGTTGATGTAACGGTACCGTGTTTACGTTATGCACCTGGGGGCGCCAATTCCGGCCAATCCGAGTGCTTATAAGTGGAGGCTGAGTCACACCATCAGCCAATCAGCGACGCACCATTCATGAGACGTTTAGACCTCGATTGGCTTTTAAGTTTACATTAAGGTCAACTTAGAACGGATGAATGATGTTAAATGTGTCATTCCTATATTCGATTAACCGTTATATAAAACGGATAAAAAACGTTAACCTAGGGACCACTGTTTAATGAATCCGCGACAGAATGAATGATACATTAAGTTAACACATTATTGAGGCCCACATATGGAGTTATTGGGCGTGAATTTGCCCATGTAAGGAATACTGGAACGGGAATCAACGGATTTTAATTGGGTTCACGATTAAAAACTCGATGTAAACGGAAATCGAACGATTTATTTAAACGCTGAAAATCTCGAAGAACTGCTTGGAACCAAGTTTCTTTATGTTCGAGCAGTGATCACGGCGATCGGTTAAAGTGATTACTGTCACACGATTTCTGGAAAAGAGACGATTCGTTGATCGAAAAAGCACATATTTAGGGCACTCATAATAGAGGAGATATTTTTGGGGGTTACATCGCCTAAATATAGATGTGTCGTTAAACCTGCCACCACCCGACACAACCAATCAGTAAGGGTTTGTAACGTAAAGAAAACGTGCCAATTAGTTAATAGTTCAGCACTACACCGGTTGTGTGTTGGGAGAGTAAACCTCCAACATGGACGCTGATTGGCTTCCCTGATTTTTAACGTAAGTTTATCATTCATTCTGTCGCCGATTCATTCATATCCCCATTACAGTTGATGTGTAGTGGTGGCAACAGGCAGCCGTCAGTTCCCCACCTCCCCCGGTCCTCTCTCTCAAGCCGGCGATCTGTGTAGTGAGCTGCAATGCATTTGTTCCAATCCCAGTAGGGGCGAACAAACACCTGGGACATTGGCAAATTTTAGCTCCAGGACAAATTGCCATCATATGCAAGGATAAAAAATACGCAAGTTCGTTTTTGGTTAGGTGTGTGCTGTGCCAGTATAGATTTGAGCAAGCTCGCAAAGTGTTTTCCACGGAATAAGAGAGGTCTAGAAGGAAATACTGCTGCAGAAGAAACAGCAGTGTTCTCCATGGGCAAGACCACTTCCGCCCCTGGTGGCCTTTAGTGGGCCCCTGACAAATTGTGGAAACAGCCCCCATCATCATAATTGTGCTGTTGTCACAACCCCCCGCCACCCCAATGGTTATCAAATGTGTGGCAGCCCTCACACACACTCATCATGTTTTATTGGCAAAAGTCCCCTCTGAAATCGCCTTAAGATTGTGTAGTGTTTATAATGATGAATCCACTTTTTATGAGGCACACTCTGTTTATTGTAATTCTTCTCTTACACAGTTCTTTACACACAGAGGGGTATACGGTCCCCTCACCCGATACCCTAAGAAGGTACAGCCTCTGGACTTAGCGTGACCTACACACAGCTCTCTTGCTAACCTAAGGAGGTACAGCCTCCTATCTTGGCGGGACTTACTCACATGTCTACCGTTATCCTAGAGTCCTCTGGCTGGGACCTAGGGGAGGCTATTTGACCACCGCTGGCCCGGCGGGTCTTGACCACTGGATATGCCGAGCCTTAGCCCTCAGAAGGGCTGGAAGGCTGGGTCCAGGGTCCTGTCTATCTTCAGCCTGGGCTTCGGTCTTCGTGTAGGGAGAGAACTCCCCGCGCTCTGCATGCTCACCCTTATACCCGTTTGTGGCCAGGTGTAACCAATCCCACATTCCCACGTGGAACTGTCTGATTGGTTCTTACCAAACTGTGGCTACGATCCGCTTCACCTCGTCTGACCCCAATTGTTATTCACACAGAGGTAACGCTGCACTGCCCTTTTGATACCTAGTGGCAATGCAGGTTACTGAACAGTGAGTAGTTAACACCTCTACATCACCACCTCCTTCGGAAGCTCCAGCTGTCCCGGCTGCAACAATGCGAAACCCCGAACAACCCAACAACGCAAGAAATGTGAGTGAGCTTCGCGAACAAATTAGAACAAGAGAAACCCATATAAATACCCCTCCTAATAACACAACGTATGTACAGGGCAAAAAAGGCATGCCACAGAATACACAAAGACGTGACAGAGCAGGCGACGTGTGTTGCAAACCGATTTGGAACCAGAAACATGTTAGCAAGCAAGGTAAACATTACAAAAACCGGCGAGATTTAGCTCGCGTGTGTTTCGCGGGGCCATCGTAGGGGACGGGCAGCTTCTTTGGCGCACGGGAGGTGCAGGAAAATTAACACAAGCGTCAGTCGGGTCCGGAGGCATCTCCGTGGGGACTCCTGACGACCCATGGTCCATCGAGGCCGAACGTGGCCTGCACGGCTCTGTCACTCCCGTGTCATCTGATTGTGCCGCGATGCCGTGGGCGTCCTGTAGTCCTGGCCTCGGGATCCGGAGGAGCGTCGTCGAGGTGCACGGCACTCGGAGGAGATGTAGCCTCGTCGGCCACAGATGAAGCACGATACGTCGCTGCGTGGAGGAGGCCGTCCCCGCTGCTGGTCGTCGCGGCGACCTGCGTGGTCGGACGATCGCCAGCCCGTTGACCTGGTTGCCATGAAGGCCCGGTCGGGGGAGAATCCGTCGTCCCTGCTGGCAGGTTCCGATGTCGAAGTCGAGGCGGTGATGGTCGAATCCCTGTGGAGCAATAGATGCGCGTGGATGCTCCGAGCGGCTCGTAGTGAGCACATACTCTCCTCGTCCGCCGCTTGAATGGTGATGCGCAGCTCGCGCGCCAGTTCCAGCATCTTCTGGAGGACGATAGCATCGATGGCTTCATTGTCCATGCGGGGGTAAGCCGCTCTTGCCATCGCGAGTAGAGTGGTCTGGAACGCCAGTACAGATTCTTTAGGGCGGCGTTGCCTGTCATATAACCGGCTGCGGACGTCGGACAGAGGCCCGTAGACGTCGGACATCCGTCGGAGGGCCGATTGTAGAGTCGCCCTCTGTTGTCTGGGGATGGTGAGGAGCGAGGCGAGAGTGTCGTTGTCCAGGGTGGCCGTTAGCACTCGGAGCGCCTGTGCGTCCGACCAACCCACCATTTCTTGGTGGCTCAGGAAGCAATGCTGGAACGCCGCCCAGTCGCCCCCTGTAGACGCGAATTCACGAAAGATGGGCAGGCGCTGTTGGAGGGCGGACATCGTTTCTTCCTCAGCCTGCACAGTCTCGAGCCGGAAATCGGTGATCGCCTGGCCGATAGTGTCTACTGTACTCTGTCGGTACTGTCATGATGCGGCGTCGGCTGAGTAGCGCGAGTTAACAGCGTCGCGTGCTGATGACGCTGCGGGGTGTGATTGGCCCCCAGCATTCCCAGAATGCCCTTGGCTTCCGCTTCCAGCGGGATCACGTGATTCCTCGGCGGGAAAATCAAAATGTCCGTCTTGGCCGATGGTGGAAACATCTGCCGGCGGCTGATCCGATCCGCCCGCGACCTCCGAGTTGATTTCGTCAAGAATGTAGGCGGCAGCATGTAGAAGTTGGGCGAGACGGCTGTGTACTGCCCGGAGTCCATCCCCCATGGTAGGCGGAGCAATTGGCTGCTGAACCGGTGGTTGGGCGGCTGGCAATGCGCCGGCATTTTCAGCGGAGTTGGCGGTTCCCGCAAGTGCGTCAGAGTTTTCTCCATTCTGACCTCGCACGTGGGCTGAACTTCTTGTTTCCATTTTTCAACCAATTCTGACTCCAGTTGTAGTGTTTATAATGACGAATAAACTTATTATGAGGCACACTCTGTTTATTGCAATTCTTCTCTTACACAGTCCTTAACACACAGAGGGGTATACGGTCCCCTCACCCGATACCCTAAGAAGGTACAGCCTCCGGACTTAGCATGACCTACACACAGGTCTCTTGCTAACCTAAGAGGATACAGCCTCCTATCTTGGCGGGACTTACTCACACGTATACCGCTATCCTAGAGTCCTCCGGCTGGGACCTAGGGGAGGCTATCTGACCCACCGCTGGCCTGGCGGGTCTTGACCACGGGATACGCCGAGCTTTAGCACGCAGAAGGGCTGGAAGGCTGGGTCCAGTTTCAGTTTATTTACTTGGTATAGCCCTGTGAGCCATTCGGCTCTTGAATCGGGCGCAACCACAACAAACAAAAAAACAAAAACACGAACAAGAAAACATCTTCAAGTGACTATGTGACTGCAAACAGAAAATTCATGAAAAAAACAGCAAAATACTCCTGAAAAAGCACCGTACACCAACGCTGTGTGCAAAAATCCCAGTGGGATGCAAGTCAAACAACAACAACCACAAGAAAACTTAGATCAAGGCCATCAGTCTAACTCCGTACTACAACAAAACAAACATGTCCAAACCAAAAAACTTTTCGAAATCACCAAAAAATAAAGCCATTATTGCAATGTAACAGTGATCATAGAGACTGTGACCGATTGTTTTACAATTAACTACATAAATAACATGTAACACCAAACCCTAGAGCCATAGCTGGCTGAATGAGTTACTACACAACAACAGAAGCATCAGTCGGAGTAAAAAAAAAATTCAATGCACCTTTAAGATCAGCACGCTAAATCAAAATACAGATAATACTTTGCAGCGTCATCCGGAGCGAAACATTTTATTTTATTTTACGCCAATGAATAGCAGTGGCAGCTAAGGGTGTACAACTCCTCTCGAGCAGTTTTGAAAGAAGATCTCATTGGTAGCGATTCAAGTTGCAGTTTATTGGCAATAGCATTCCAGACCCTGGGGACATCAATAGCAAAGGCCCTTCCTCCAGTTTTTGTACGGCAATATGGCATGTGAAGCTGGTGAATGAGCGAAGACCTGAGGTCAAATTTGTTCTATGAAACAAAAAGGATATCCAGCAGGTAGTCTGCGGATTTTTTTGTAAGTACATCGTGAATAAATAAGATCTGGTGCACAAGCCGTCGAACATTAAGAGATGTTAAGTTTGACTCAATGTTGAGATCACAGTGGTGAGTCCTATATGGGCAGTACAATGTAAATCTTAAGGCCGAGTGATAGATGGAATCAAGCTTCTTCAGTACAGTACTTGGGGCTGATTTATACACGATGTCACAGTAGTCAAGTAGAGGCAGTATGGTAGCTTTTATCAATTCCAAACGGAAAATTGGGGGGAAGCAGTGCTTGTGTCGATACAGAAAACCAATTTTTATTTTTGTCTTTTTACCAATATAATCAATGTGATCTTCAAAACTAAGTTTTGAATCCAAGATGACCCCAAGATATTTATAGATCTTGACTTGCTCTATTTGATAATTATTCAAGGAATGTAATTGGGGAAAAATAACTTCCTGCTTTAGTCCCGGTGAGAATCATACCATGGTGGGCAACCGCCCACCATGGTATGATCCTTTGATTACAGAACGAATTCTTCTGCCGTAGCTGATCACTGTTACAACGCTGTGGGTGATCACGATATAATTTTATCCGATACCAAGGTTATTTGCAAACCCACGGGTTTTTATCAGAGATTTGTTCAGGAGGCAATTCAGATCTACAAACACAGACGCAATTGCAACCGAGAAGATGGTTTCAAATTGAGCAACCATTGGAAAGATGTTCTAAATCGAACCAAACATTAAACTAATTTTCAATGGTACAGTATATTTTTTCAAGCAGTAGCACCCCAAACTTTCGCAGCTTCCCTTTTCTTCCCTTTTCACACCTCCCCCCCTCGCCGACCTGCACATGTTCACCTTTCATCATGCTAAGTCCGCCAATTAAATGCAAATTTTTATGCTAATTCCTTTGTCAAGGCACCTTGATTCCTCTCACACAGCTTAAAGGTCGCGGTCTGAGCTTAGCTGTGTTCACTCCAGCACTGTCCTCGAGGTAGTCTGGTCCCTTCACCTGATGAAAGCCGCTTGTGTTGTGGCCGAAACGTCGTGATTTTTGTTGTTTTATTTTTTTACCTACGTGACTTTACCGAATAGAACCAAAGAGTATGGATCCTTGCAGTCACGAAAGCTTCAAATCTAGAATTAACCACAATACCTTGTTGATCAAATCTCGACTTCGCCTGTTACCGCTCCACGAAGATCGACCCTATTTGTTCTACCCTTCTTTCCTTCTCCTCCCCTAGCTCACCTCAGCAGCCTTTCCCCCTACGTCATATTCATAATGACTCTGTCACCATTTTCTCTGCAACTTCCAATACATAACTCTCTTCTATCATCTCTAAGGCCCATCCCACTTCCTCTCACCTCGACCCCATCCCAACTTCCCTTTCACCCCGACTCGTTCCTTTAATTCTGACCTAACTGGTGTTCCTCTTCAATGCCTCCTTCTCCTCTGGTGTCTGCACCGCAGTCTCTAAGTCGGCCATTATTCTACTGCTCCTCAAAAATCTTCTCTTGACACCTCTTC